GACCAACCGCTGACCAATATTCATAGTAGGATCCGGCCCAGCAGCGGCAGCGGTCAAACCAACAGAGGGAGACCCAGTGGCGACCCAAGTAATAAAACCGTCCGCGCGACTGCTAGGATTCGGGCCGTACTCAACACCTACAAACAACGGGCATCACTCATTAGCGCTTTTAATTTTAGGGAGGGGGGAACAGACGTACCATAGACGCTGAAGTTCATAGCCGAGTTCTGGAACGTCGACGCATCCATATTGGTCAAGCTGGAAATCGACTGCTGTGTGGGCGAACCCCTAAGGATCAAAAAGTAAGAAGGAACAAAAATAATTAGGGCTCCAACGTCCTCAAATCCAGACCGAGGAAGAAACGCACAAGAAAGTGTTAAACACGCTCCTGTCGGGTGTGTACAATGTCCTCGAGTTCGTGGCGTTGGTTGGCTCATAGTACGCAGAGAACGGCGCAAACTGCGATGATTGCGAAGTCTGTCCACCAGGTCCACCCGTCTTACTTCTCTCCGCCTCGAAGATATCAATTTCGGGGGAGCCGCGTCCCTTGCTATTCGTCGGCCCAGGATGATCTTCGCCAGAACATGTGCATGCGCTATTAAAGAGTGATAAGGCTCCTTATCAGAACTATCCAGCTACCAATAGTAGAACGGATACGATTGTGACATACGAAAGACGTTGTCCAGGAAGAAATGATATGGGTCCGCCGGTCTTGCCAGATGTCTGTGCCAGGGCGGGCTGTCCAGTTGAATCAGTCTGATTTGGGAGAGTTCCAACATCGCAAGAATCGTAACTGTGAAAATGGCATGAGTTTGGATACGTGAAGGTAAAGTACCATAAGAACTCACGTGTAGGGCCATAAGCCATCCGTAGTAGCACCATAACCTGGCCGTCCCAAGTTACCCATTGTCCAAGCAGCGGGCCACTGTTAAAATAAAATAAAAAACCAAAATCAGCAGCAAGATGATACAATATCGCCGAAATCTACTTACGAAACCTTGAGCGAGTTGATCTCCAGGGAAGACAACAGAGACTATATAAAAAAGAACGAGGTTTCGTTCAGAATTTTGAATTGTAAGTCCGGGACCGGATTCCATACCTTCTACATATCCACCCGTGAAGCAAAACTTGTTCCAACTCTGTAACATGCCCGAACGATAGAAGAGGTCGTGATTTGGAATGGAGTCGAGCGTGATGACGAGGGCGCCATTGGCGGTCGTGACGGCCCCAGGATCGTACCACTCGAAATCTTTGGTCGCCCAATAGTTTAGGTCCACGGCTTCCCAGAATGGGTCGTCACCGGGGTAGAACGTCCTGCCATCTGTGTTGAACTCGTCGGAGAACACAAGCGTGTAGTCTTTCCCATCGAAACCAGTCCGAGTCTTGGCAGAGTCTGGAGTTTGAGGGTCGATCAGTTGCGGCAGACCCGGCCTATCATTGATAAAAAATTAGGAAACATTGCATACACCTTTAAGGAGAAAAGAAAGAAGCTTCGAACTCACAAATCTGCGAATTGCCCCGTTCCATTAATCCCCGGTGCAGTCGCATACCAACTATCGCCATTGACAATGTACGTCAAGACAGGATAGCCGGCGAACAACATCACCAAACCGCCGATAATGCAACTGACGAGAAGCACGTTCAAGACACCCCTCCAACTTATCCCGAACGATTTCTCCTTGAGCGCAGGGTTGGGGTCGTGGAGGGCGTCATCGTCATCACCCAATTGCCCGCCCGAGACGTAGTCAACGGTCGGATTATCCGAGTACGGTAGGAAAGCAGTGCCTCCGTTGAGATGGGTACTGCTGTTTGGCCCGCCATACATATTCGGATATTTAGAGTCGGAAAGGGAGATGACGGAGCCTGCAGAGGATAATGTAGAGAATCGATGATGTTGTCTTGGTACATCGGTCGGGCGAATTGGCTGATAAAATGAAGGTGCGGAGCGCGTGGTGTTCAGTGGACGACGCGCGACATGGGCAGAGAGGAGAAATGACGTGCAGCCACACACTCCTTGAAGGCTGGAAAAAAATTACTCACCGCATATGGACCCAATCCGCCACCTACGAGTCCACTCTGGACACCTCTAAGGGCGGCGTCTCGACCATCGCCGCTGCTGCCGCTGCTACCATCACTGCCGGCAGTCCCTTGCGGTCGACCCGTCGTACTATCGGCAACTGTCTTGTCCAACCCCCATGAGACTGGACGTGACCTGGAGCCGGGGTTGATGACAGCGTTGGGGTTTAGCGGAGAGCGAACATAGTTGTTTCGTGGGCTCTGGCTCATGGGGGATCGGACGGGTGGTTGTAAAGGATCGGTGACGGATGGGGAGGAAGGTACGTTTGTGTAGGCTTGGTTGTCTTGATACCCGCTATGTTCGCGATCGCCGGTGTGGTCGCCTCGAGATTGCCACGAAGACATGGGTGGAATGGAGATTGGGGCGTGTGTTTCTGAAAGGAGCGGCAGTGTAGGGACAGAAAAAAGGAGATCAAACGCTTTTCTTTCCGGTTGCGATACGAACACACGCGGAACAAAGCCGTCTGTCCGTGTTTAATAGATGACTACTAAATGGTGGGATAACCGAGGATGTCCTTTCTATAGTGGTGGATGACACCAACTAATGTGGGCGCGAACTGAGTGAAGGAAAAGGATGGACTGGGAGAAGGAGATATGGGTAACGGTCCGAACTCGAATCCTGAATTACTCAGAAATTGTTCTTGGCAGGATCTAATCTACCACCATTCAGGTTCACTCGTACACACCATGAGCATGGCTATTCATTCGCCTGCTACTCATAACGCCGGAGAGGGCGACCTGTAGCGCTGACACCAAACATTTTAGCATCGCACATCACGTAAAGAAGTTTGCTTCTATTTCGGGCACCGAAGGAAGATGGATACCCAGCCTTGGCATGACTGCGGCAAAGTCCACCATCCCAAGCCTCTAATCATTGAACAACGCGGTCGAGGCCGCCAATCGGTAGGATGCAGCGTACATATCTCAAACCATAATAACACTGCCCTATGACGACGATCCCCCCAACCGATCAACCACGACATAGCCCCTCGGCGCTTTTCGTTCTTGCCTCATCTCAATCTTGTTCCTGACCTGACTCGCAGGTACATTCTGCACAGACACGATCTCCTTGAGGCGGAGGATCTTCCCCGCTGCCTCGGGTGTGTGAGGCATGAACGCTGTCCCCATCCTTCTCCAGATGCCTGGCGACAACACAGCAGTTAAATACACGATCAGCTTTCAATCGTGGAATCACGGCCGGCCCGTGCATGCTCACCTAGGGCCTCGAGTGTCGCTTTTACCCGTTTCGGAAGGCCGATAGCTGACCGCGTAAGGGTTATCTTGTAGTGAGTATTAGGTTTAGCAGCCTCCAATGAGGATGATTGGGATGCATGAGGCGTTTGCAATGGCGGGATGCTGGATTGCGTGGACGACTGTGTTATCGTCGATAACTGTCGCCGAGACTGATTAAGGACAATGTGCCGCCGCAATAGAGAGGATCCTGCATTCATGGTTTCTGACTAGAGTTAGGAAGGGCCCATCCAGTTAATACAGTATACCTACATAGTAGGTTTTACTCACAAGGCGAAATATTTGGCAGGAGCGTAGAATGTAGTGTTCAATGTTCATCTTCCCAGATTTTGAACTCGTTGTAAAACCCGGTCCCGATGAATCATACCGCGGAAGCTCGAAGCTCACGCCCTTGCATGGAAGCCATGGCTGTAGCACGATAACCACTTCGAAAATGGGCATCACCACCTCCGCCTTGCGAATCATGCTGAACCATGCAGTTGAATTGCTATGTCACTCTGCTTCTGAAAATATGTAAATGTCGGCGCCTCGAGTGCATACACTCTGTGGAGCCAATCTCCGCAAGAAGGCATGGAGATAAGACTGATGACACGTACAGCATACTATCACACTCCTATTCCTGTTACCACGCATATGTTGTGGGTGGAGTGACCTTTCGCTCTTGACGCCCTGGGCTTAGCCTCAGGCCTCGATATTACATTGCTCGGCAAAGCTGCAGCTAATGTGGCGGTACATGCCGTCTGCGCGCTGCATGTGTCCTGAAGACTGTCCAAGGACCCCGGAATTGAGACAGAGGGTAAGCTTTACAGACACATCATGGAGGCCATAGAGATATCAACCAGTCACATCAACGCCCTCGTGCTAGCACTCAATTGGTATGATCGGAACCATGGAGAACGTAACTCTGACAGAGCCGAATGTGTAACCTAGAGCGTTCGTTATCGCGCGTACCGTGACTCTTGAGACTCTCGACATTCTGGAGTTTCTCCTCCATGATGATAGAATACATATGGTGCTTTCAATCAACCCTCTCTGGCTCTTCAATTCCACCGTATCCCCCGAGCCAATATCAAAATCATCCTGCATTGCACTGACCTGGTTTCGCATTCTGCTTGGCTTAAAATCTGAGAAAGTATCGTATCGACTATATAACCCGCATGCCTCGCGTGGACTCACTTCAGTCAGGTTTGGTGGACACATTATAATAAGGGAGCTCTACAGCCATTCAGCTCGCGCTGGGATTGTGTCCAACGCGGTAGGGTAGGTCCACTGGCTCTATGTATCGATCTTAAGGACGAGAGCTGTGCACGTTGACGAGCCTTTGAGGGATCACTTCTAAAATACCATGACGTCGTTGGAGTACGACTGAGACACCAATGTCCTATCCTTGAGACCCTCCTGGAGCATATCGATTAACCTTACCGTCGGGTTTTTTTTTTAATTGCGATGCCTGCCGGCCCAGCGCGAATGTAGTGAATAAGTCTCGCACTTTCGTTGCAGCCTCCGGAACACTACCGCAGAGCGAAAGTGACAGGCCACCGATAGCACGACTATCGTTTACTGTGATTTTGATGAGCGCGCGCCTAAGTGACGCCTTTACAATTGTATTTCGCTTTACGTGGATAGTTTATATTAAATTTCATATATTCAATAATCTCAAATATTAGACCAATGGTTGTGTAGTGTAGTGGTTATCACATCGGATTCTGATGAATGACGGTTGTCTGCTAGACTTCCGGTAACCTGGGTTCGACTCCCAGCATGACCTACCCTTTTGCCATCGTCATCCATCGGGTCCATTCTTTCTAGAATGTTGATGACTATCGCCATACTCTTCTATTTACTTTGCCAGTTGTTTGTTTATGCTATTCCGAATACACTTCGGAAAGCGAGAGAACGCTGTACATCATCGGAGTCACGAAGATCAGTCTGGATATTCATTCTAATGCCGCCATCCTTGTGTGAAAATGCTCATTAGAACACCAAGGGATACTCACGACGTAAGGCCCAAGTGAGACATATCTAGAAGGTTGCACCTGCCCGCCAGGGCTGACGTTCTTCAGGGCCGTCAACATCCTGCGATAACTTTGAAGGGTCGATGGGACCGATTCGGACACTGAAGTTTGAATGCCCCTCTGGAAAAGATGGAAAGTTCGTGTCCGATGCTGGTGAACTGCAATGTTTTCGTGATCTGAATACCTACTCTATCGCTTTACCTTACGCTTAGCACATATCACAGAAATACACTGCGGAAAACGAGAGGATCCAAAAGGGAAAGAACCATTGATTGGGAGGTTCCTAACTTTATTCAAATCCTATGGCGGACCGTGTTCTCCGATGCTTTCCTCGCTGCCAGCCAAGAGCCCCAGAAGTTCGCGCCAGAAGCCATCCGACGATGTCACATCCATCGCTCCCACCATCGGCTCCGTCTCGCTGTATCCCGGAAGCCCCTGGAATGACATGTCAGGTCCCAAGTCCGATATCGGATAGTTTTCCCAGATGGCTGGCGTAGCTGACAGGTGACCAGCACTTTGGACATCATATGGGGGCCATTGATTCGACGGCTGGTTGATTGCTGGGAAGGTGGAGCTTACATCAGTCCCCATTGGAAGGTTCGATGACCAGTGTCTCTGGGAGGGTACTTTGGGCAGAGGGGTAGAATACGGCAAGGATCCACTATCCGACTCGGCCATAAACTGATACAGGTTCCCATGATAACCGTGTGGGTTTGCTTCGGAATGGTGCCCATGGTCTGGAACGTCCTGATCCCATGCTCGCTTCATGGAAATCCCTTTACTAAGGCCATCAGTTTCGGGCAGCCCCGATTTCTGTTCCGTAGCAGTTGGCCCACAGCCAATGGCCACTATTTGTCGCAGGATATCGCTGTGATTGCGTCAACGAAGCATGCCCACCCTAACCGAGCCAAATATACTCACTATGCCCGGCCTGAGAAATAATACCTAGCAACGTCATATTAGCGAATACTTTATGTCCCATTAAATGTAGTCCTCACTTGTTCTCTTGTCGCCTCAGGTAATTTAGACATGACTGTACACCCCGAACCTGCCCCGAGATATCCACATTAAGGCCACTCCTCCGGGCCTCCCACATACTTACCATCAGTACAACTCCTGATTGGAATACCATCATTGTAACCGACAGGGTAGATGGCACTTCCACCGCGGTGTCTAGTATATGTGCGCAAGACCGCGCCGCATTGGCGCATACGGCGAGCGATGGAAGAGATATACCGCACTTTGATGAAGATGACATTTGGATGAAAGGACGATGGACGGTCAGTTGAATGTAGTGATATGCGATTCGTAAAGCCGCCGCTTGCTTGGAGAAGGCTGGGTCCATGTGCTGATCCCACTTCACTGGGTTGACGATGAGCCAAGATACAAAGATTTCAAACCATTGATCGCTTACAATGGTCTGGTACGGCTTCTAGCCACTCGTTTAATGCACTGTCAAGTTCGGCGACTGTCAACCCCATAAGAGTCAGCGGTCTGAGATTGGTCGAGCACGCAGAAATCAATCACCTTTATCTTGCTTCCATTCTGGTCCAACAAAGCCAAGATCAATCTTTGACTGGCGGATAGCATAGATTGTCCTCAAACAGTGCGCTAATATTTTCAATAGCTTTGAATACTGAGTGAAATATGCGAGTTGAGAAGGCTAATATATTGTCATCGTCAGCACTTGACTATCAGTCCAGGTATCAAATAAACTCGCCTTTCCAGGGGGCTGCTTCCATTCTTGGGCGGTTTCATCCCATCCGTCATCATCAACCTCTAGAGGGAAGTGGGCATCGATGCTATGGAGCAAAGGGATGATGCTGAACAACATGCGCCCTCTGGGTTATAACCTAGTGCTTACTCCTCATCGTAAATACCCATAACTCTTCCAAAAACTTGAATCAAGGGATAGGATGGATTAATTCCACGCCGTTAATGCCGACTATAGTCAGCCATACCAGTACTGAGTTCCCTATCCTTTTGGACTAAGCACCAGAACGCCCGTTTCCACAGTTGGTTTTCAAAAGCTTGAGTTGGTGAATACACCTTCTCTCGATGCGCACCAATGTCCTCTGCAAATCGTAGACCGGAGCCATTGATAAGCCATGCCTTCGAACAAGCGCCCGTCCCTTCGAGATAAGTGGCCGATAAGACCACGAGCTGCAGGTCCACGAGCTTTGTGATAGCAAAGAGCGGCTCTATCGAAGGATATACGAGGTGAGAATCCATCTACATTGATACTAAAAAACTCACTCGGCATTTGATACACCTGCGCGAAATACATCCATCCCGCCGAACCCCACTCAACCTCTCCTGTTGATGACGTCAAACATAGCCTCGGGTCGTCGCAGTGCCAGGAGCCCAGTGCACATACGAGCAGAAGAAGCCTGGCAAAGTCAATATCGTGACTGGCATAACCTTCTGCATACTGTCGCTCGAAAGATGGGCGATGTATCAAGGGCATTAGTGGCATGATCTCGCTAAAGCAATGGTCAATGAGGACCCGGATGAGATCTGGTGGAGGAAATCGAAGACTTTCAATAGCGGGTAGCGCAACGGTCATCTGGTTCCACTATGGAAATACCATCAGCAGCGATCGCAATGCGTCACAACGCTTGCATGTCACTTACGGTGTTAGGATTCCAGAATTTCGGCCGCAATGGGCCCGTATCCGGAAGACGTGAGTATCTTGTTGAGGTAGTGTTTATATTTCCCGACACCGCCTGCTGCAAATTGCGAGCAGCTTGAACTAATGTTGCACCGGAAGACTATGCGAAGGCTCAGCCGGTTAGACAGAGTCCTGATCGGTGGTAGTGGACCCACGTGCCTTGCCAAGATATAGCCTCTCCGTGGAATCTGTCAAGTGGGCCATCTTTATTTCCATATTTTCTGCTACTGTTGTATCGATACTTGTAAGGTTTCGCTCGTCACTCGAATCCTCATTGTCCTCCGGAGTTGCGTACGCCTGGGGGGTATCGGGCCCCTGCGAAAGGCCGGAAAGTAGACTTTGTTTGGTCTTCCACGACGCCATTGTTTGTTGAATACCTGCATCAGGGGTGGAGGTGCTGGGGACTTGACTCACCGGAGGCTGGAACAATCGTGTAGACCGGGACATGTCCTTGACCGCCTCCCACGTGTGTTGGTTGAAGCTGGGCCCGACCTCTGTGTCGATGTCAACATGCGGCATGACCTAACTCCACCATCAGCAGCAGCCTTCTCTTCCGTGTAGCTAAACTCACTCGGCGTATAAGCTTCTCGAGCAACTCTACCCTCTCTTCTAGATCCCTGACATAACTGAGAGGAGATTATGAGACCTTCCCAAGCCTTCTAGTACATATCCAAATATCGTACGCTTTCGGTGGGGCGTTTTTCCTGACACCTTCAAGAAAGGTGCAATCTGCACCCAAGACGGTCCCAATCAGCCAGCAGAGCAGGAACTCAAATCCGATGGTCGATATTACCACGTTTAAAGGTAGTGCAATAGCTACATTTGGTTCTTGTGGGCGTGTCGTGAGCATCGCAACGTAACTTCTTCTTTCGAGAAGTATCACAGGGCCTATTTGAATGTACATCATGTTACAGGTTCATCCTGAATGAATTGAAGTCCCCACCTTGAGAGTCGCTTCCGCTTAGGCTTATCTGCAAGCCCCGTGAGCGCTCCGAAACGCACGGCTTCATCCTCAGACATAGTAGGGGTGGTCCAGAAATTTACGAATGGCGTTGGCGGAGATCTTCCGTGGTGGTTGGGTTGTTTGATTGGTCATGTTATCAAGAAAATCCTACAATGCGCCAAGCAAAGGGAAAGCGGCTGCCGGCGTGGTCCCTTCGGATTCTAAATAAGTGATTCTAGACCTCATCGACAGCAGCGACAGTGAAAAGTTAGTACGCTCTACCCTCCTGTCACCCGAGCTAAGCTCTGCTCGCTATGATACTTATTCACTGTGAACTCAATCACGTCGTGTCGGTCAATCGCGAGCCTATGCTCAACGAAACGCCCCTCAAGATGCATTTGCGTGTTTGTATCGTCGGTCAGAGCTCACTCATGTGATGTGCTGTCGAATGAAACGCTTGATACCACGGATATTCGCGAGTAAGATAGGGTCAGGGGAAGAACCTCCGACATCGGTTTTGGACCCGTCCTGGACGTCCAGATGGTCGGGTGCTCTTGAGAAGAGTTTTGGACACGGTCTAAGACCGGTTTTGGACCGGTTTTAGACCGCCTACATTGCGAGTCCCCCGACAACTGTTTTGAGCCTCAAATTTGCACCAGATGAAATACAAAGGCCTGCTACGTTAACAGTGGCATTTAAATGAAAGAGAATTTAAAAGGCTATATGCGGTGGCCACAAGGGGGGAAGAATCAAGCCGCCTTCCGACACCTCCTCGAGTGCCTTTACCTCCGTTGATGCAAGCAAATCTAACAAGTGTGATGAAGAAAAGTCAGAAAAATCCTCTGTTATGAGCTTCTTCCACTTGTGTCCATCCAACGGCTCAGATAACTCACCAAGCCAGTCAACAGACTACTGAACAGCTTCATCACGTGATCAGATCCAAGCTTCATGTCTGAATTGGCCGTCTGCTTCACTAAGGGATTGCTGGTCAAAAAGGCGCTCGCCAATATTGGAATAGCAAAGACGAAAAACGCCTTTGATCAGGGTTTTAATGCCCCCAGATTGCAGAGTAAAAGACAGTCTTAAAGCATGGTTGCCAAGATGCCGGTACTGGACCTCTAGGTCTCTTTCAGTAAGGT